GATAATCACTTCTCAACAATTATTTGTTATTATTACAGTTTAACATTATAAAATTAACAAAAATAATATAAAACTCATATTCTGGCAAAATAGCAACATGGCAGCGGAAAACTGTATATTCCCTTCCTGTTCTCTTGCCCATTCGTGCATTCTTTCCAAAAATTGGGACTTTTTTAAAACACCATGGGACGCAGGACAAATTGTTAGAAAGCGGACTGTCCCGCCAAATGCGGGACATCTAGTCACCCTAGTCTAGAGGTCAAAGGCACTAAACAGGAGGCATGCTACCCTGTTGGCTTTGAAGAAGTAAATTGCCATATTGTGGACAGGGTCAGCTGTCAAGAACATCAGACAGTGTCTAGGAAAGTTATAACCACAGATTAAAACCATAAGAAACTGAATTATGCCAATGACTAATGAACTTGAAACATGACATAGAATTTTAGATGAGACCACAGGCTTGACATCCACCCTGATCATAACCTTGAGGGACCCTAGGCAGGGAGCCCTCCTGAGTCATTCCTGGACTCCTGACACAAAACTATGAGACAGTAAATGTATGTTGTTGTAAGCCACTAAGTTTTTGGTAATTTGTTTTGCCACAGTAGAAAACTAAAACACAATTTAAACCATCACCAAACATTTTTGGAAGCCAAAACATTTGAAAAAATTGTCACATAACACTATCTCTTATGCTTTCCAGATGTCACCTTTATGTTATTCATTAAGCAATATTTATATCTGTATTATATTTTTTAAACTAAAAATTATGCTTTAATAATTTTTTTCTGAAATATTTCCAAAACTCAGAAGATTATTTTAATCTGATTGCTGTAGATTCACTTCAAAAATTCTCCGCTCATTTTGTTGGAAGTAAACATCCTCTATGTAAAAAAAGTCATAAGAATTCAGCTAATTGTTTCTTGGACCAAAAAGGAAAAGCAAAACTCAGCAGAATTCAAGTAGGTAGAAAGGAGGCAGAGAAGATGGGTAAATTCACACACAATGGGGTCATCACACACTTCCTGGGTAAAGGGCATACGGATAACTTTAAAATATAAAAAACAAACTATGTAACCAAAACATGTGCACCAAAACTCCCATACTATTCTGAAATAATTATATTTAATAGTTAGAAAGCATTATGTTAATTCAATTTTTTGCCTCACTCAATCTCTTTTAAAATATCATAAAGAGTGGTTTAGAACTGAAGAGAAGGGCAGCATTTAGATTTCTTAGTGTATGCATGCCAGTTGAAGGGTGAATATACAGGGGTGTGTGTGTGTGTGAGAGAGAGAGAGAGAGAGAGAGAGATTAGTCTTATTCCAGAGAAGATTTATAAGAATGCATAGGCCACAAAAAACAGATGGGAAACAGTTGGTTTATTGTACCTTTCTGGTCTAGAATGATGGAAAGATTAATAAGCATAAACAACTCAACCAGTAGAACTAACCCAATGTATACAGAGAAACGCTGTCACAGGAGTCATCTTTTATTTTAAAGGACAAAACAGATGATTCAGTTTCCTTGGAACATTGTGTTTCACGTTGAGAGGCTTCCAGATTCTGCAGGCATTTCACATATGCCAGGCACATCCCCTTTCTATGGGCTTTATGTGAGATGCCAGAAACGTTCCTTTTTATTAACAGGTCTAACTGAAGAGAGATTTACCTTGGCAGTACCATAGTCTGAGTAACATTGAACCAGAATTATTAAGAAGAATTTTCCCCCATTAAGCTGCTACTGGGAAATATGCAAAAATCTATCAATGTTCTCATAATTATGTGTGTTACTCTGGGTACTAGTACCTGATCTTATGTAGATTATTTATCTTTATCGATCTCTCTCTATATATATAGAGGGTGCCCCCCAAATGTATACACATTAAGAAAGGAAGAATCTGTACTACAGTTGTAATACTTAATATATACTGATAACAAAAAATGAATATAAGTCATGTCAAGCACCTCTTGTAATTGCAGAAGTCAAACATGACAGGAATATTATAAATTTCATACAGTTTTTTCCTTTCTTAATATGTGTAAATATTTGGGGGGGCATTCTCTGTATGTAACTTTACAGTATCAAGCCAGTTTATAGCATCACGCCGTAGTAGATTTATTTAATTCTACTGATGTTAAAGAATTTTAGGATTCATTTGCAAAAACAACAAAGTTAGAGAAATAAAATTATGATCTAATATTATTTCATAAAAGAGTGAAAATGTATGACTTAGCCATGGAAGAGAATTAAAGGGACACCACAAAGGAAGTGTGAAAGGAAGCTTTTCATCATAAATTCGGAGAAGCTGAAAAATGATCAGCAATTAGAAAAGGACTGTAGCAGGCTGAGTACAAGAATGGCCGAAGAGGGAGGGATCAGCTACTAGAGATTAAAGACACCTGTGGGAAGCTCCTATTAGACTAATTACTCTCCACTGTGGCCTCTGTCATTCACCAGAAGAGGTTTGCAGACAGTTGGCATTTCCTGATATGTCTCTGGGGAAGAAGGGTAGGGAAAAGGTACAGGCTTGGAAGGTAAGCACCTAAAGTCCTGGTTTTTAATTATCCTAATGACTTGGGTTGTTGAACAAATTTCCAACCTTATCTCAGTATAGGGATTTTCATGTTCTTGATAGCATCAGAATGTTTAGTTCTTTAGATGTTTCTTGTGGACATGATTTTTACATACGCATCTCTTTCAAAATAATAACACTGAAAATTCAAAAAAGTAGGAAGGATTATGTAAACCATTCTTAAAATAGTAAAACCTGTAAAAGCATCAACTGAAATACTTGTTAAACCTGTCTCCCTAGAAATCGCCTGCTTAGATCCAGTCTAGGAAAGGAAAAGGAAGCAATAAATATGACCCTAACTTACCGCACATTTTAATTGCACAGTACTCCCAGGGGGTGTCAGGGTCAAGAGTATAGCACCATGGCCTCGGCTTGCCATCAGGATTGCGGCAATAATTATCATCAAAGCCCTTGTCGGGATATCTGCAAACCACAGCAAGAAAAATGTCACGTAAATCTGCCTAGAAACACCACCCAGCCCTCTCAGCTCACAAAGTAACTTTCTGCTTAGCTTGGATGCTACTAGCTGGGGAAAGAGAAAGTTTTCTATGTTTTGTCTTACACAGACTGGTGATCTCTGGCTACTGAATTGGCTAATTTGCATATCCTACTAAGTATAGTTTCCTAGCCTTTGCTAATAAGTTAGGCCCAATTGGCATCTGCCCACCAGTTGAGGGTCCACACTGAACCCGTTTCTCCTAGAACCCAATTAGGGAGAGATGCCATAAACATGACCTGGTGTAGAACGCTCATTAAGAAAACAGGTCCTCTTCTGGGGCAGGCTTAAAGTTCAAATGAAAGTTAGATTTCAATGTTCTGTTACTAATGATAACTCAGTTTTGGAAATAGAGCCTTTCTGGGTCATGCCCTCACCTCCACCAGAGCAGGAGACAAATTCCATCACACCACTTTCTCCACATCCCATCTCTCTTTAAGTTAACAGCACCCTGAATTGGTGTCTTGATTTTAATTGCTACCATACCCTTCTGATCTCACTTAGAAGATAAAAAATGCATTTAAAAAATAAACCAGAATTAAATTTCATTTAAAAGAACAACAAACAAAAAAAAAGAGAGAAACACTTTTCTTTAGAAATTGTTGGAATATAAGAATGGAATAGTCTCTGTAATTTTTGTGTTTTTATTGTCTATAATAAAAACAGAAGAATTTTTTTCAACTTCAAAATGTCATGTGAAATAAATGGGCAAAGTAGATGTAATTTTTTTTGTAACTATTAAGCTCAAAACCTACTGCTGGAGAAAAAGGCAGACTTAGATGTCTGAGTGGTCCAAATTGGCTGTCCATAGTGACAGTTTCAAAACGCACGAGGATTTCTAGCATTCTCTTTCTGCGAGCGTTGCCTATGTCATAGTGTTACACCTGTGAGTGCCTGAGTTTCTGAAGATGCTTGGGAATTTGCTTGCATTTAGAATAATGTCTCCACCCACCACTCAGGCCTGTCAAAGTTATCATTACTGAATTGGCTTTGGCCTCCCCTCAGAGCCCCACAATCCCTGGTATGGGAAAGAAAGAGGAAGCATCTGTTCGTGTTTCTACTCTGCATTAACAGAAGCTTAGTTATGTTCCCTGCTGAAGGTTCTGTGTTCAGGACCATCCCAATCTTAGGAATTATTGTTTGTTTTTGAGACAGTCTCACTTTGTCAGCCTGGATAGAGTGCTGTGGCATTATAGCTCACAGCAACCTCCAACTCCTGGGCTCAAGTGATTCTGTTGCCTCAGCCTACCAACTAGCTGGGATTATAAGCCTCCACCACAACACCCAGCTATTTTTAGAGACAGGGTCTTGCTCTTGCTCTTGCTCAGGCTGGTCTCGAACTTGTGAGCTCAGGCAATCCACCCTCCTCAGTTTACCAGAGTACTAGGATTACAGGCACAAGCCCTTGCGCTAGGCCTTCTGATTTTAGGAATTCTTAACCCAATCAGCCACACCTGGTTAAAAGTGTCCTTAGTGTTCTCAAACACGTCATTGTTCATCTGTTTGCCCTAAAACTACCTCCTCCAAACATAATGACTGGCAATTCAGTGTAAAGAATCCTGAACCAGGGTTCATGCTTGATCAAGAAAACATTACTTAAAGAGAATGTTCATGGCTGTGTGTCATGAAGCAAGCAACAATTTGTAAAAAGAATATTGAAGCACAATTCAGTAATATTTTACCTTTCAGGCAAAAATTTGTGCCGATGTGGTGTCTGATGATCCCAGCGCTGACAAATCTTCCCTGATTCTGTATGATCCATGGGACCTCGATAACTTTCCCCATTGCAGGTCATGCATTCAACTAATAAAATTAAAGTATGACCAGTTAATTGTTTCTGACAGCAAAATCAAAAACATCCCTGATCCATTTACAAACAGCACCTGTTTATCAAACAGACTGTTAGAAAACGCTACCCAGCATTCTAACTTTAAATTGGGGCCAAATGTTCATAAATAGTGGCATAAAATACAAGCTATAGAACTCTTCATATAGTTTAAATGTGATTTTTGTGATTAGTGTCATACAAATTTACCCTGTGGCAAGGACGCGACCTATCCAAGGTACCTAGAAGCTGAATAATAATAACTGTCTATAAAGTAACTAGAAACTAAAAATACATATAAAAACATAGATCCTTGGGAATTTTTCCTTTTGGGGTAAACTTGCAAGCATCTGAGTATCTGTACTATCAACTCAATGGCATTCGTCTCTGAATCTTCTCTCCAAACACATACACAGAAATTACACAAATTCAACTGAGTTAATGTTATACTTCTATAGCTAATGTCATCATCAGAACCACATAGGTTTAGGATATTGGCTTCAGGTAGTTATCTGGTACAATTCACAGAACACCAATTTTTTTTTTTTTTTTTTTGAAAAGAAACCACAACTCCTTTCTGTTAGTGAACATCCATGTAAAATAGTGAAGTTGAAGAGGCAGGATTACATTCCTCTCTAGCATAGAAGATGACCTGCTATTGAACTCTTCTTACCAAGTCTTTTTAAAATGTATACGCTGATCTAATTATGCAGGGTTTTACTGATGATTCTGTGAGGTTAATTAATTGTTCTCTTTGGCTGACCTCTTGTGTCACAATGAAACCTCTGAATCACATCAACTAGCTGAAAGTAAGACTTCTTCAACAGACAGGTTGATTTGTAGTCCAGCGAGCGTCCTGTAGAATAAATCACTGCTTGGCTTTCCTGTGAATCCAGCAAACTTCCTCAAACACATCATTTGTATCTTGCGATTACTGATCATTTAACTTTAGCCAAAGTAGGAAGAGACATCAATGTGTAGTTTTCTCCACCGCAATCTAGCCTAAGGAGGAGTTGTAGTAACTTGCAGTATAATATTAGAGTCATCCCTTTGGAATCTTTGATTCTTATGATCTAACAGGGCATTAATGATTAACTTTCTGAAACATGCATCCATTTGGTTTGAACCACCTGCTTCCTTTCATGAAGTTTAATCCAAGAACTAGGACAGAGAGCAGCTCAGCTTATCCTCATGAGCTTCTGAGGGTGAGGCCCCAGACTGTACTCATTAAGCACCTGAACTGTGAGTGAAAGCACAATGACAGAGGTGCTCAGGTGGGCCCAGATCATTTACACGTTGTCATGCTCGACGCAGTTCATGCATCATCACATTTCAGCTTTCTATTTGAACAGAATACAGGCTAATTTAGTTCCCTTTTTGAAAAAGAGCACCAGGTTTGATATCTTCAAAGAAAATGATGCAGCATTTATTGTTGTTTCTTTCTAGTGAATGGAAAAATAGAACGCTGTGGTTACACATAAATAAGTCCCCACATACACAACTTCAACTCCTGCATCGTGCTCAAGGATCGGAATATATCTGCTATGTCTCCTTCAGCAAATTCTCTCTATAATAGTACATTCCTTTCTAACGAGGTACATACAATTATTTTCTTGGAAGCAATACAATGAGCATTATTATTAAAAAAATTCTCCTAACTTATAGATTTTTAATAGTCTTAAGGAAAAATAATGTACAAATGAAACAGATGATCTTGTAAGATAACTACTTTCTACTATGCGTATGGTAAATCAATGATTCTTCGAACATTAGTGTGAATAAAAACCACCTTGAGATCTTGTTAAAGGTAAATTCTGATTTAGTGGCTCTGGGTTGGAGCATTAATCACATGCTCTCAGGGAATGTTGACGGTGCTGGTGCTTGGACCACACTTTGAGTAGCAAGTTGTAGGTACCATGGTCTATTCTAAAAGTTCTACCTGCTGGGCAGTAATAGGTTTATAGGATTTTACTTGAACCTTAAAGAATGCATGAAAGTTGGATAAGGTATAAAGGGACAAAATAACATAAAATGTACAGAAACATGAATTAGTTGTGTTATATTTGTTGAAAAGAGAGTGGTGGCTGCAATTGTAGGCCTAATGAGAAAAAAATTAATAAATGAAAGTCAGCAAAACAATGTATATTTTGGAAAGGAATGAAAGTTGTAGTTAGGCTGGGAATTAAACGTGTCTTATGATAGAATGAAGGTGCTGATATAGTTACATAAATTATTTGATAATTTATTCAGTATTTTCAACATATAAGATATCATTTGATTCCTACAGTGAGGAAAACAAGGCTCACAAAAGTTTTAAGGGACTTACCTACAAAGAGAAAATGTGAAACCTGGACCTGTCTGGAACACAGATCTTCTGACCCAGAGTCAAATGTTCTTTGCATTATCCTAAATTGCCTTTTTGATATACAGAGCTTCACATTTTCCCTCCACATTCTCCCTGGCCACACTTTAAGACAGACTGATAGCCAAAATTTTAGCAAGTTGATATCTCTGTGTTTTTCAGCCTTTTCCCCATTACCATCTGCCTTTTTGTTTACAACAGGAGGTTTCTCTCCCGCTGGAGTCTCACCTTTTGGGGGATGGGAAAGGATGCCATAGGGAAGCATCTAGACTGGCCAACTTATCCAAGGTAAGTGGCTGAGAAGTGGGTTGCTTTACCATTGAATGAAACCAACAGGTTAGTCATAAAAAATTACCTCAAGAAAGATAAAGTTTGAAGCCATTTTCATTTTTCAAACTTCTGGAATTCTCTACATCTTCTAAATTTTCCTAGCTCAAAGGCAAGCCGTTCAGCTGGCAATCAAGGGAACCTACTCAAGGAAGCAGGTGAAAGTTCGAACTCTTGAACAGTGCCAGAGAGTGAGAACTGCACTTTGGGCTGTCTCTATCATTGCCAATGCATTATTTTACCATCCTAACAAGGTCTTTGTTTAGGGAAAAACAATGCAAAATACTATCCTAGGTCACAAAAACAAAATAATAGTTTCTGTCATAAGTTCAATAGTTTTTCCAAGTATAATTCTGAATTAAATGATAGTTAAAAACTGTAAAACTCCATATAAATTAGGATTGATCTAACATCTTTCTCATCATATCAACAACCAAACTCAAAAATTGTGTTCCATTTTTCTCAATTTTAAAACCATAAGTGATTGAGGTTATAGACTAAGACAGATTTAGAAAGTATCTTAGTCTATTTTAATCAGTGTTTATTTATTCCAGTAAAGATAGTTTCTCAGAACAATCCATGCAAGTGATTGCTTCAGCAATGCTGAATGTTTAAGATACGAACAGTATCACAAATCCACGTATTTAAATCTTTGTTCTTAAGTCTTTCATCACAGAGTATGAAATTCTCATATGAAGTTACACCACTATTATTTGGGATTTTAAGTGTCCTGTAGTTAAAAAATAATGTTTGCAGCTTTGTTAAAATATTTTTACTTGAATATTTGACAATCACTAAAATCGACATCTGTTCCAATGACTAATGACTGTTTTATTTTAAATACCAAAACAAGAAATTAGATTTTATATACCTCATCTTTCCATAATTTTTGAATTGAATGAAGCATCACCCACTAGTATTCTTTACATAATTATGTAAGGTTCTTTTGTTTAAAATTGTCAGAAAAATTATATGTATCTATTGTACACAACTTGATGTTTTGAGGTATATATACCTATGCACTGTATGTTAAATCTAATTAACACATACATTACATCACATAGCAATCATTTTTGTGGTGAGAACACTGAACATCTAGACTGTTAGCATTTCTTTTTGTTATTAACTATAGTCACCATGATGTACAATCGGTCTCTTGAACTAATTCTTCCCATCCAACTGAATTGTGCTACACATGATAAAAGAAGTACTTGTTTTCTTTTGAAATGATTACTACATTTGAAAGTTTTAAATTATAAGAAAGTAATATTGATCATTAGGTATTAGACACTATTCTTTCATGAACCAAGAGTTTAGACAAATTTTAGGTGATCGTTTAGCCAAGAGTTTAATAGAGGTCTATGAACTTCAAAATAATGTATCATTCTATATACATGTCTTTTTAATGGTGTATTACAGAGTTTAACCAGGGGTATTTTTCTCATTTAATTTTAAATATACAAAATGATTTGATTTTTGCTACATCATCCATAATGATGCAACCTTGATAACTTTACATTTAGTAAATTAACATCCATGGATAGAAATGACTTGTCTGTTGTACCCTTAAGCCAGTAGTTGTCAACCTGTGGGTTGCGACCCCTTTGAAACAATGGAAATACATCCTGCATATCAGACATTTACATTATGATTCATAACAGTACCCAAATTACAGTTGTGAAATAGCAACGAAAATAATTTTATGGTGGGGGGTCACTACAACATGAGGAACTGTATTAAAGGGTCATGGCATTAGGAAGCATTAGGAAGGCTGAGAACCACTGCTTTGAGCAATCTAGATTTTGAGGTTTCCTTCTCCTATGTTTGTTTTAGTAGAAATGTGTATCTCTACATTATTTTGTGTATTTTTTTTATTATCCGTGTTATCTCCATTTTTCCTCTATTAATGTTTGGGCAATGCTTCTTTTCTAGATCTTCTTTATTAAAATCCTGCTAAAATGTTGCTCATATTAGATCAAACTTAAAATATCACAGTTCCAATTCACACTCTCTAAAACAGACTCAAACTTTTTAAACAGGGGGCCAGTTCACTGTCCCTCAGACTATTGGAGAGCCAGACTGTGGGCCACAGGACGAGTCAGCTGCTAAGCAGGACAGGCAGTGGCGGCAAAAACATCCGGCAGGCCCGATAAATGTCCTAGGTGGACTGCATGTGGCTCGCGGGTCATAGTTTGAGGACACCTGCTCTAAACTATGTTTTTCTTATAGGGCAGAGGTTGGTTTCCTCCTATCACAGGAGAGTTTTTCTACTATTTTTATGCCTCTGTTTTTAGAAAAAAACATACCTGCAACCTTCAGGGCCATGGTGACCACTAGCATCATGTGCCATTAATACCAAAGAGCAATGTCCTTTTCTAAAGGAGATGTGAAGATTTCAAATCATTAAAGGATATTACAGAGTTACATTCTAGTAAGGAAAGGGTAACTGAAAAGTGGATTTTTCTGGTTACTTCTTTTCTAGTAGTTTTAATCTATGTCTCCCATCAGCCCAGCTCTAAGTAATATATTTTGAAAGTTCTTCTCATAATCCAGGAGAAGAAAAATCATATTCCCACAAAGACCAAGAAGGTAATGTACATGGTAAATGATAAACTATTTAAAGTTCGATCACGTCACCTGCCTTTGAAAATACTTCGCCAGATCAGAAGTAAGTAAATAAAAGAAATGAAACTCTTTATCAATGATCCCAACCTCAGAAAACTGTAAGATTTTGTTCTTCCAGGTACAAATTGAAGACAAATATTAATCACAGACTTATTCATACAAAACAGACTTGTTCATGACGTTATCACAGAAAAGTTTATTATTTTTAAAAGAAAAGAAAACAATGGTGAAGTTATAGGGAACAGAATATGATCTGGAATAGAAAGTAAGAATTTACAAACAAAGATGAAACGGGCTCTAGCACATAAAGTCAGGGGTTTTAAATTAACTAATAACAGAAAACAAATTCACCTTCTCTGCGACAATTGGCTAACAACAGCCTTTACTTTTTATGAGATAAATATCAACCTAATAGTAAATGGATATTTCCAGAGGAAATATTTTTTTAAAAATATTTGGTTAATAACAAACAGCTAATGTATCTTACTATAAAACTTGGACAACATTCCAATAGTCCCCATCCCAAATACTTCAAAATCTTAATAAATTTCTAACAGAATTTCATTCACGTTGCACTTGGATTTTGGGACACGTGCACGTTGCACGTTGCACTTGGATTTTGGGACATCTAGAGTTTCTCACAGAAATGAAAAACCTAGTATTCAGTAGAGAGATAACTTAGAAAGATGAAACCACAATCTCTGCTGAAATTATTACGCTTCATCTTGTCAGCTATTCAGTTTTTCACTGCACATGTAAGGATGATGCCCTTTATGCCACAAGGAGAGGCAAAAACACACACCTGGATTGAAGGTGCCTGCCTTCAAGATAGTGTGGCATCCATTCTTACATCTCTTCAGATATTATTCTGAAGGGTACTCAGTTTCAGGCTATGTGTCAGATTTGGTTCTAGGCACAGTTTCACCAAAACGTGCATGGAGTGGGTAGGAGTTAGCGTCAGCATTCCCCTCTCATTCCCTTCTGGGTCCACACACCCTGGTTAGACCACTTCAGATTCGTTTTGGCAAAATTCCTGTGGAAGCCGGTGCTGATGAACAGAACTAGCATTACTAAGAAGGGCTAAGTTTCACTTCACTCCAGGCTCAGGACAGTAGGTGTGTAAACCTACTCTCTTACTCTCCCCAGAGGGTTGTCTCAGGCTGTGTTGGAACTCAAACAGATAACTCACTCCATGATATTGCATGAGTCTGGCAATAATCAGACAATTTCAAAAACACTGTGTGAAAATGTTCAAATAATTATCTAGCGTTGCATTTGAACGGACAACAGATTTATTGTGATCGATTCTTTCCTATGAACTCTCCAGGTGAGTTACAGTTCTACGCACAGGGGGAAGAGAATGCCCCACGCGGCATTCAGGTTCATTTACCTTCTGAACACTGAGGAATGTCACAGACTTCGTAGCGTACCTCTGGGTTGCTTGTGAAACACCACGGTCCCCCTTCTTCCCCTCGAGGATTTCGACAATAGTTTTCCTGTAGGTCTTTACCCCGATAGCTCGAAGGCAAAAAGCTAGTTTTAAAATGATAATCATCACAGTATAAGAGCATGCAACTTTATTTCAGGCCTATTAATTTTACTAATTTGTGGAAATGCTTTTCCTGAAAGTAGAGAAACCCTTTATTTTATCTCCTATGCCTTCCTAATATGTTAATTTAAATTCTGTTCTTTCCATTCTTGCTACAGATACTTGAATTTTATTAACGTTAACTAAATTTCCATATTCAACATTGAGTCAGAAGGATTAGCCTCCAGATTGGCTAAGAGAAAAACTTTCTAGAACATAATTGATGTTTGTAACACAATTTCAAAACTCCATTCAAGGATAACAAGTGACTGAGCAAATCCACTTAGCAGGGATCTGAGAAAAATACAGCAATTGACTGTGAAACTCACTATTTATTACATTGTGTATCTGAGATTATTACTTGCTTGCTTACTGATTTTCTTATGAAGAAAAGCCCCCTATTTTCCTGCACAATTGAGAAACAAATTGATGAAGGAACATGAACAAAGGGTATAGAATCAAATTAAAGCTGGACTCGAATGTCAGCCCTTTCTCTTACTGTGAGACCCCAGCATGGTAACTTAGCCTCTTTCATCGTGTTGACTTACCTGTACACTGAGTATAGCCAGAACTGATAACTATCTTCTATACTTGTGAGAAGTTCAAAGCAGTGATAGAGTAATCGACACTTAACAAATGCTACCTATTACTAAGCACACTCCACTTTGTGGTCTCTGCTCTGTCCTAATAAAGAACAGAACTGCTTATGCTCTTCAAACACTGTCATAGTTTTGGCTGGGGCTTGGTGCTCTCGGTTTTTATTTATAATGCCCTTTCGGTGTGGTAATTGCAATACATTACCTTCATTTAAAATTTCTAATGCCTTGGTCATAGTTTTGTTACTAGCATGACGTATTCGATCATCTAAGAAAAGGTCAAGCCTTTTTCATTCTTTTGTATGGCTTAAGAATGCTACAATTTTCTCCCAGACGACACACAAAAGATGATAATAAAGAACATATACAGGGTGGTCCTAGAGCGTGTGTGCAATTTTAAAATACTGCACACAAACGTTACGGCCACCCTGTGTCTCTGTAGTTAATACTAGTAAACATTATTTAATCCAGTTACATTTCAATATTCATTTTGGGTTTTGTTAGAAAGTTTTATTTCTGTTACTAATCTCTGAGTTCTAGACTGAACCTAAAGTAGAGTCCCAAGGATTTTAGTCTCTCAGTAAACACTGTTGACATGTGTTCCCTACCCAATGGAATTTCTAATCAAGAAAACCATTATTTTTCTTTATATTGGGACATAAAACTAAATACAGACATACCCCAGTTACCAAGCAACATTTTGTCATGTAATTCTTTCATTTTGTCATGAATGTACACCAGAGTTAAGTCCTCAGAAAATACCGATTATTGTCAAATAGAAATAGTGTGCTCTAAGAGACTTGCTACTAACGAAAGATTTTTAAGGAACCAATTAAACATTACACAATTCCAAAGTATCTTGAGATAAAGAGTATATCCTTACTTCATTAGCATTGTAAATATTTGGAAATAAAAATAAGACAGTAGACCGCAGGACTGAGGCAAATGATAATGCAATAAAAGCTCATCAGACCGTCACGATTCCAAACAGGAATCTTTTTTTAAAAAGGTCATTTTTCTTTTGTCTTAGTTTTAGCCCCACTGTTGGAGAATGGGTTAATGTGACTGGTTTGGATTACTGCTTGAAGTTAATTTTAATTTTTTTACTTCTCCAATTTTAATAGTAAATTTGCATGAAACTATTCATTGTTCTGACAGAATCAAAAGTGATTTTTATTTTCTATACTTTTAACAAAATAATGCACTAATCCCGTTTATTTAAGAAAATTCTATTGTTACTATTTTATGGAAAAGGTTGGTGTAATAGAGCAGTAAAATATTTCATCATACAACCTACACTGTTACTCCATAGATATCAACTCGCTAGTTTGACACGAGCCATTAGACAATTGATTTAGTCTCTGGGTTTCAGTGTCTTTACTTAGAAGATAACTGAAGGGGACCAGATTATTATACATTCCCTTTTTTGTGTCATTTTATGTATTAAGATTTGTCAAGAAATCTAGCAGTTTTAGCCCATGTTCAACACACATACATTCAATTTCTACAGTTCCAAAGAGACTTTGTGCCCCACACACATTCCCATACTAAGAAACGCACACACACATCTATACATGGATACCTTTCCAATAGGTTTGTAAAGACACAAAGAGGCTGTAAAGAAGCAGTGAATGAATCAGTCAACAATTTAGTAGGAAAAATGCAGGTAAAATGAGGGCAAGATATAATAGAAATTAAAACTAGATATGGGTAAGAGGTGAATAAAGTTTCCCAGTGGAGTTAATAAAATCAAAATGAAGAGAAAAGATAGGCTTCTTTCCACAATTCTGAATCAAGCCATATCAAATTCCCCTCTAGGACGCGGAGGTTCAAAGGCAGTCTAGGTCATCATTTTTTTTTTTTTCATTTCTTGGTGTACGTTACCTTTTACCTAAGTTAAGTGGTTTCCTTTTATATCCCCTGGTGTTTAGCTTCTTTGCTTTACCATCCATCCATGGCCAATAGATGGAGCTTAACTCTGTTCTTTCACTCATCTGCATTCATTCAACAACTGTGTATGAGGACCTCTTACTCTCCAGGCCTGTCCTGGTCAGCAGGCTCTGTAATAAGTTTTTACTCTCAAAGGGACTATTTTTGGTCTTCTGTCCTTGCTGTTAGCCAGGTAACAGAGAGATAGGTAGAGAAAAATTTTAAATTGGATTATATCCAAATATGCTTCGAAATATAAAATAGGTCTCCTGGGTGCTAGCCTCCCTTTCTTTTCTTCTAATATTAACTGCATTTGTAGAAAACTTGATCTAGTCCATCATCTGATTCATTAACAAATGCTGGGTGGCCAAGGAAGGATACAGATGTAGATCTCGGGTCACCTGATTTTCTGGTTAAGCTTCTATACTAATTTCATCATCCATCATCATCTTCCCATTAAGCCACTTGTAAAATATTTCAATTTAGGGAGTCAACAATAAATCATTCCTCTTGACAGAAACACATTTCTTTTTCCATTTCCCATAAAATTAATCTTCAGTCAACACTTAACTTAAAAGTGGTACTCTATCACACATATATTATAATAAGCTACTAACTGAGGAAAATTAAGTGTTGTTTCCATGAAATACAAAAAAGGATTTGATTAACATACAAGATGCTCTCGGCCATAAACCTCTGCATCACCAGGAAGAGTTCACTGGTAAAACAGCCGAGCAGACTGGGAGACCAGTTCCCAGGGAGATCTATTTCTCATTTAACTCCTTCTGCAGAGAGTCACATTCACAGAGAATTTGGGTTGTAAGAAGACCTTTCCTAGGTCAGTTCAATGCACTCTCCTGGACTAGGGCAGGATTGATTTCAAATGGCATTCTTTATTCATGAAAAACTTAGATTCTTATATTTAAATAAAATGTTTTCTTCACTACTGTGGGGAGTAATACCAAGGAAACTCTTAAGAGAGGACAAACCAATGGTATTGCTTATTTGTTTCTATAATATAAAGATAATCCTGTGTTTAGAGTTGTTCTTACATAATTGTAAGCAACTAATTTGTGAAAATTGTTCTCTCCTATTGAATTTCTGTAGAGCTCATCAGCTTGTACACTTACTAGCTGATGTTAATTAAGCCACAATCACCAGTTTGATCACAGTAAAAAGTAACTCTTTTTCTTTATATTTTGGCCAATTAACTCATCTCTGTTTACTAAGGTAAAGTCATCTTGCAAAATCTTACGCCAGAATAGAATGAAGTGAAAAATGGATTCAAGGCAAAGCCATCAGTAGTATTGGAAAAATGAGTCACACAACATGCATCTTGCTCACAGGCTAAGTGTTCCACGTCCTCAAGTTCATTAAAAACCCTGGTTATAGAGTGACAGTGACTGCTCTTCTATTCTGGTCATGCCACTGACTGGTTGTGGAGGACCCCCAAAACTGACTAAAGTTCTTCGTGCTTTACTTTCAGCCTGTGTATAAAATAGCACTAAGAAAACTACCCACTGCGTGGATCTCGTGGGGGAGGAAATGAGACAAGCCAGGTAAACTTCTCAGCAAGGTACCTGGCACATGGTAAACTCAATCTTCCAGTCCGTTTACTAAACAGGGGAGAGCTATGCTAAACTCCTTTAGGTCCTGTTGAAATTATGTGTTAAATAAGTCTTGAAAACTGTGGCTGTATTTAGTTCTCCAGTAAGTATTAGATATCTATGTTTTTACTCCATGATGACTAACAGTCTCAGTCTCAGGAGCTTATGGGTGCTATGTTTACTCATCTTTAAATAGTGTCCATCTGTTATCAAGAATACAGTCGCCCTATTCAATGTAGACATTTATTTTCCAAGGAAGGAGAAGTCCTCTCTGGTCTTTAGGCAGTAGGTGAAATGAGAAGGCTGGCCAGTCTGAGGCATGAGCTTTTAGCAGTGAGTGGTTCTCAAGGTCGGCGGCATTTTGGAATCATATAGGGATCTTAAAGTAATACTATTAATTTCTTCCCCCAAGACATTTTGATTTCATTGGTCTGTGTTGCCAGGTGGATGATGGGCTTCTTTAAAAACTTGTAGCAGATGTTTTTAGTGTGCAGGCAAGGCTGTGACCCACCAAGCTGAGGGAACACCCAGCCCTCGGTCAGGTACAAATCTAGTTCACCTCTGATTTTTCATGATCACCCTCTCTGACTACATCCTGCTACATTTCCTCAAAGACAGGCGGAAAAAGGAAGAAGAAATCTCTTTTTTAAAACAAAGTTCACATTATTTCTTCACAAACATCAAGGTCTACAAATTGAGGCATCAAGGTAAGAGAAAGATAGGCCATATCTTACTCATAGATTTATTAGTGGTTTACTAAGTGTCAGTCATGAGTTCACATAAACCTGGGCCTGATACAATGCAGCAAAGTTGGCTAAGTTATTGTAGAACCATAGAGTTATTCTGTGAGACTGCTGACACATGAAAAGAGGCTCCATCCTCCTTTCTTCATGCTGTTCTTACCTGTGTTCATGTGGGATCATGGAATTCCAGGGTTGGCATTTGATACCGCTCTTAGTGATAGATACGGTTCCCTTGTAGCTGCCTCCTCGACCAATGATGCAGTTTCGAATATAGTCTATTGAAGAAAGCAGAGAAAAATGCTGAAATGATGCAAAACATATGTTGCATTTATTAAAGAGAAAAACTAAAATAAAATTCCACTCAAACCTGTAAGCAATTAACTCTTGTAAACTATTTCAAATAACATTGAAATTTCTTGCCTAAAGTTTTTACTAATATTTTCAAAATAACACATTTCAGAATAATCCAAAACAAACAAACAGACTCTTAAGAAGTTTTAATTCTGTGAGTATATGCTTAGAGAACTACAGGCATTAGTCCCTCCATTGACCTACTTGATGTAGATTAGTCCGTGTCCTCAACTGGCCAGGCAATTGTGTTTTGCTCAAGTATATAGAAGAACACTTTAGGAAAATATTAAAAGTAAAAATTAAGTGGCTGGGCACTGTGGCTCATGTGTATAATCCTAGCCCTTTGGGAGGCCAAGGCAGGAGGATCACTTGAGGTCAGGAGTTCTAGAGCACCCCGAGCAATACAGCCAGACCCTGTCTTTACAAAAAACAGAAACAGAAAAATTAGCTGAGTGTGGTGGTGCCCATCCACACTTCCAGCTACTTAGAAGGCTGAGGTGGAAGCATCACAGGAGCCCAGGCCTTTGAGGTTGTAGTAAATTACGATTATGCCACTACAATCCAGCTGGGTGACAGAGCACGACTCTGTCTTCAAAAAAGAAAGAAAGAAAAATTAAGTGAGTTTTTAAAACCTATGTGGGATTCATAAAGTTACTTAAGATAATGCAACTAACTAATTTTAGTAAAATTAGATGGCTTTAGATATACATATGTGCTTGAATAAAATAGTTGTAGCAGTTGATGATTACTTTCTTTATTTTTGCTAACATTTTGCTAAGTTATAAGACCACCAAATTGTAACAAAATATGTATTCCTGTCAAATAACACATGCAGTTATTAGCAAACTAGAAAATTAAAGTAAGAATGGTCTTACAGTAGATCATGATTAGAATGTAGAATATTCAGATGTAGAATTGTTGAGGTATATAGAGATTATCTTATTTTCTAGCATAAATTTATTTTTATTTTTACCTTATTAACATGAAAAAAACCTGAATATAGTACCAAACACTGGATTTAACTTTCAGTTAGGATACAGTATGGGGTGACTGGAAAGATCACCTATATGGTCTGTCTAACAAGGGTACAAGTGAACTTTTCTAGAACTAGAGTATAAATGTTTTGACACAATGACTAAGGAAATGACATGAAGTCTATGTTAACCAGCTTGATGAAAGTATTTCAAATTGTATATGAAAACACTACACTGTACCCTATGTTTGCATTAATGTATACAGTTATCATTTAATTTAAAAAAGGATACAGTATGATTTTTTTTTTTTTTTTTTTGAGACAGAGCCTCAAGCTGTCCCCCTGGGCAGAGTGCCGTGGCATTACAGCTCACAGCAACCTCCAGCTCCTGGGCTCAAGCGAGTCTCCTGCCTCTGCCTCCCAAGTAGCTGGGACCACAGGCGCCCGCCACAACGCCCGGCTATTTTTTGGTTGCAGCCGTCATTGTTGTTTGGCGGGTCCGGGCTGGGGATTCGAACCCGCCACCTTAGGTGTACGTGGCTGGCGCCCTAGCCGGCTGAGCTATAGGCATCGAGCCGATACAGTATGATTTAAAAAAAGATTGTAATAATGTTATTTTCATAAGTACAATTCATAATTATTATTTTGTGTCAGAGATTTGGTTTATCAAAATAATGTTTATTTAACATTCTTTAGTTATTTCAAGTATATGATTAAATACAATTCCAACTCATTTTTATAGAATCTACATTTTTTATTTACAGCACTTATCACTTTAATTAGTTTTTTAAACTAATGACTAAAGAGATCACTTTTCAAAATGAACATAGAGAATTTTAGTTCTTAGAAATGCACATACCGGGCGTGGGAAATAGAGAGAAACGAATCTAGATTATGGAAAGTCTGGGAAATGCTCTCTGCAGAGTAACATACTAAACATGGTCAAGGTGCTAGTTTCACCTGTCTTGGTGGGTGAGCTGACTACGTAACAGAGCCAGCATATAATAGAAAAAAAAAGAGGGCAAGAGCACTATGGCAGGAAATTATTAAACATACATTTTATTGTACTTTATTTCATTATCCACTATTTAGGGAGAAGTCAGTTACCTTTGTTTTCATAGAGGTCAAATTCATGGCCAAATTCTTTTTTCACTCCACTGGACATGCTATTGAAGGGGAACCAGAGGCATCGTTTTCTCGTTTTCTCAAAAACAAAGGCCCTGGAAAAAAAATCGGAATGTAAAATAAGGAATGCTACTCCTTACATACGACTCATGGAATCTGATGGCTTCTACCCCCTCCACAGGGAGATGCAAAATAATGTGAAGGAATACTTTTCTTACAGGCAATGTCATTGTATTGGAAATGAGAAAAGAGAAAAGAATGAATGATTAGCAAACTGGAAATCCTGTTACTCACTTGGCAGAAGAAATTACTTAACAAATGTATCACCTTATTTGTTGTTTTGTTTTAAATAGACTTTTTAAAGAATAAGCACATGGTTCACCAAGAAGGGCAACATAAAACAAAGGTATAATTACATATATATATACAAATAAAATAAAAATAGGAATAATATTTAATGTTACTACTTTGACAGCTAAATATGAAAACAAAATTAAGGTTTTATTAGTATCGATTTAAATATTAGATTCAATACTAATTGGAATGTTCTCACATTATGCTAAATGACTTGTATAAAAATAAGGGCTCCAGCAAGCAAAATTAATATGTGACACAATTATTTGGATTGTTTCTAAAATCTTTGTTCTTCATTTTAGCCTTTTAAAAAAAATATTATTATTTAGGATTCATTGAGGGTACAAAGAATTAGGTTGTACTGATTATAGTTGTTAGGTAAAGTCTCTCTTGTAATTGTGCCCCACCTCCAAGAGGTGTGCTGTACAACTGTGACCCCCCCATCCTTCTTCCTACCCCACGCCTTGTATTACATCATCTAGTGCCCTCCTATTAGAATTGAATACATTGGATTTAATAATTATATTAAGATATCATGAGTCATTTACCAAGTTTCTAATTATATCAAGTATATTCATGACATTTTCCAAGGTACATTAGAAAAATCTCCACCCAAGAGATTCTCCTAGGGAGAGGGATCTGAAATCAAATACTTGATTTTTTTTGGATATAATATCCCTTTTTGGTAAGTTATCATACATTGAGGCTTACTGAAGGCTATGAAAATCTTGCTGAGGATAACTTTTTATTTAAGCCAGTATTTCCTAAAGAAATTTGTTTGCATGAGCATTTTTAACTTTAAAAATACTGTTAACATTAGATAATATCCTCTGATATAACATTGCAAAGAAAATTACTAAAGTGTATCACCTGCATTACTACCAATTCCTATAGTTCGATTTTATACTGGTTCATTGTTGTTCATTAAAAAATTCTATTTTAAGCAAAACTGTAAACATCAATTAAGGTGATAAAATTTTTAAGTAATTTCTTCTGCCAAGTAGGTAAAAGGATTTCCAGTTTGCTAATCTCATTCACTCTTTTTTCCTGATTCTAATACAATGACATTTTCTGTAAGAAAAGTATTTTTTTACGTTATTTCGCAGGTCCATATGGAGTGGGTAGAAGCCATCACATTTCATGAGTTGCATCTCCTTTGAATTTGACTTTAAAAGTCTTTACCTTAGCATTATTTTAATTCTCATATTCTTTTCAATAATTTATTTTATCTATTTCCCAGCTGTTTATGGCAAGAAGGCATTCTAGCATTGGTTACTTAGTCATGGCTAAAAGAGGGAAGCCGCCTAATTTCTTCCAAGCCAATTCATAAGTTAGCAATCTTCTGAAGAGCTTAGAATCAGATATTCTGTTCATCTTTCTTACCTGGCAAAGAAAATCCTGAATCCCTATGAAATCAAAACTGTCCATACCTCCTCAAGAAGAGACAGTATTTGACTGCGTTCCACCCACTCGATTCACAGATGCTTTCCGTAACTTTGTATTTTCTTTTTTTTTTTTTTTTGAGACAGGGCCTCAAGCTGTCCCCCTGGGTAGAGTGCTGTGGCATCACAACTCACAGCAACCTCCAACTCCTGGGCTCAAGTGAGTCTCCTGCCTCTGTGTCCCAAGTAGCTGGGACCACAGGTGCCCGCCACAATGCCCGGCTATTGTTTTTGGTTGCAGCCATCATTGTTGTTTGGTGGGCCCAGGCTGGATTCAAACCCACCACCTTAGGTGTATGTGGCTGGCACCTTAGCCACTTGAGCCACAGGTGCCGAGCCAACTTTGTATTTTCTAAGTGGTTTAGTGTATTTTTCATTGTTTTTCAATGATTCTGGTCCATGCAGCTAGTCCACAAACAAAATCACTGAATTCATTAAGAACTTAATATCAAGGTATCACAGTATATCCATCCATTCAGTTCTGCATAATTCTGTATAATGTAATAACCTTAAATACATATGTGTATGCAGACACAGAGAGAAAGAGGATTTCCTCATTTCTTGGTAGAAGAACATTGGCTGTACATAGGTAATATTGCATGTGGTTTTCTGTATAGGTTTCCACAAATTGGAGACTAAATCTAACTCAACCAGAATATAGTAAGAAAGTATGAAACTTCATGCACATGCTATGTATGAATATTTATTAATTAGGTTACATATCTATTCCAGTCCATGGAATAGGATAGTGATGATGAAGGATCCACAAGAAGAAGAGCATTGCTAAGTGCTCAATTTTCACATTAGTCAAGGCATAGGCTGACTAATGTGAAAATTGAGCACTTAGCAACACTCTTCTTCCTTATGGATCCAGAGGAGTGTATTTTCAACAATGATACGCTATCCTCTCCTTCCCTTTGCCCTGTCCTCCCAACCCTGAAAGGAGGAGAGGTGCGGAGATACAACTCCACCCGCTTTAATTGCCAAAACAGCTTCATAAGTCTTCAAACCTGAGATGCAGATTAAGAGTAGTTTTCTTTAATCTCATGGCTTTTATAGGGAAGTCAGGGAACAAAACAGAATTATCATAGCAATATAGTTGCAAAGTCAACTCCTACTTCATTACTAGGAAACGTCTCCCTGAAAAAAGGCAGCGTGGCTATAAAAATAGAAAGGATGTAGTCTCTCCTCCTCCTGTCTTATGACGACCTTCTCTGAAATGTTCTTTCCTCTCAGACCCATAACACGGACTTTTCTGAAAAAGGCAAGATGAACTTCGGACCTCTCGCCATGACATTAATAAATCCTGCATTCACATTGTGTTTCACTGTCCAAATGCAGTTGGAAAGTATAAATGTATAGAATTTTATGGACAATCTTATTTTAAACAAATGAGAAGTGAAAAGAGCAGGAAATAAGTGAAGGGAAAGGATATTTTTTAAAAAGAACTAGACAATATTACTTTCTTCTCACAGTTTGGGAGATGACTCACATGTGACTGACATTTTCGTAACCCCAAAACTAAAAGTTTTACCACCTGGGATCACTGACAAAAGAGTTAAGATTTCTTCCCTGTGAGGTCACACAGGGACTTTCAAAACATATAACATTCTTAATTGAAGTCTCCTCATTCCCCTTCAAATTGCTCAATTAATTTTCACCTGAACCTTCATCATCACTATCCTTCATCTTCTTTTTAACACTCTTTGCTGCTGCCCCCGGTCCTTCTATTTTTTTTAATCTAATTCTTTCAACACCTTTTATTTAAATCCCTAAAGATGATGGTATAGGTTGCAGTAAATTTTGGCTGTTGCTCAATTTCTGAAAGTTCCTCTTTAAAAAAAAAAGTTTACTCTGAATAGAATATTTTAAAATGTTAGAGAGATCAAAGTCAATCTAATGTAATTTTAGTTACCTGAGTTCAATTGTTCATAATAGGAGAAAACAAATTCCATACCTAAGGCCACTATATATTTTAGAAGTGAAAATACACCCTTCTGCATCCTCTCCCTACTCATGCTAAGTCTTCTGTTTTGATGAGTTGTAAGTAGAGTGAAACTTAGAATTTTACAGCCAAATCACATTTAATACAAAAAAAAAATGATTGTAATTGTGTACATGACATATTTGGAAAATTATCTAAGAACAAAATGGAGTAACTTACTTGCACGTGAATGGAAGTCCTTTATTCCTAATGCATCTGTTAGCACACTGGTCTGCAGTGTTCATTTTTTTAGTTTTTATCTTCAGAAATGGGTCTTCTTTGATTAGAGTAGTCTTTGCTGACTTTTTGAATTCATGAAGTGTATTTCTTCTTTTCTTCTGTCCCTCTAATAAATACAAAAATTTAGGAAAAAATAAGCATGGGAGAAATGCTTTTAAGGCTCCCACATAGAAAAAAAAATATCCTTAAGGATCACCTACAGAAAATGATTTTATCTGGCAACATGGTAGACCTCCAAAGGTGGGGGTCAAGTGAGGTGTGGAACAGCTGAGCGCAAGAGAAGAACATTATAATCAGAGAAAAACAAATAACTTGTCATGTAGAGTCACTCATTTATATTCTTTCAAAGGAAGAAGCTTTTAAAAATTAGGACAAAGTTCACCCTAAAGAAATAAATAACATGATATCTCTAACAGCATGAAAGCAAGTATCAGTGCCAGAAGCTTATCATGTCATGTTTCATAATTAAATTTTTCATTTCCTTCTACACTCAGTCCTTATGTAAGTTATAATATTAATTAGATAAGCCTAGTCAGAGACAGGTGAGAAACCTCACACGGAAAACTGTACAGGAGGCAAATTCTCCTCACTTGATCCTTAAAGATTTCTATAAAATTCATATTTTAGCCCTTCTCTTCTCATTTACTGCATAAATGTTTTCTGTGCTTTTGGGCACTATGTCTTGATATCACTGAAATGTTTGTTTTGAGATCAAGCCAAATGCTGTAGATCAAATATATGTACAACTTCATCCTTTAATGTGGGAATATCATTTTTCTTCATGAAAGTGCAAGATCCCTAAATAGCATGAAGCCTCCACTAAAAAACCTGAAAAACAGAACTAAAACATCCTAGAAGACTTAATCTGTTGGATAAGTCTAGTATCAAGAACTCATTTCTTTATTCTCAGTCTGCTCAAAGTAGCCCTGACCTAAAGCTGATCACCATCTTTGCAATGCAGATCAAGATGCCTAGTAGACAGCACATGAAGGATGGATGTGCTTGTGCATCTCTGCCTATCAAGTTTTTTGAACATTATTTCAACCAAGGAAGTGATAATACATCTATTCTTTTTTCTTTTTTTTTCTTCTTTTTTTTTTTTATTGTTGGGGATTCATTTAGGGTACAAGAAACCAGGTAAAATACACTGATTGTATTTGTTAGGTAAAGTCCCTCTTACAGTCATGAGAAAGGTGTGGCACACACCAAGACCTCACCCCCCTCCCTCCTTCCCTCTCTCTATTTCTTAAGTCTAGGAAACAAAGACATAGGGAAAAATTTATTGACCATTTAGAACAGCAGTTCTCAACCTGTGGGTCGCAACCCACAGGGATTGTATTAAAAGTCCGTGGCATTAGGAAGGCTCAGAAGCACTGATTTAGAAGCTATCCCATTGGAAACCCAGCTGCCTGGCTTGAAAACCACCGCTTCAAACCACTTACCATACCATCTCTGTGAATTGTGAAGATCATGTGGGGAAACATGGCTTATAAACCTTTTTCTGAAGGTTTAGAGATCTCAAGATATCTTTAATGTCAAAGATATCTTTGTATATGGTGAAGTGTGTCAAGAAGGGAGGGTGAAAATATTTATGAAAAAAATTTAGAAATACAGTAGAACCTTTGTAAGCTGATCACCCAAAGGGCTGTAAAAGACTGGTCAACATAGGGTGGTGGTCAACATAAGGAACTAGGCCTATTGCACTGATATAAACATGTACTTTACTTTCTGTGATAAAAACTAGGTCAACTCAAAGTGTAGGGAGGTTGTCAACTGTGGAGGTTCAACTGTACAGCTGGCAGAGGAAAGCAGCAAGAAATGACACCGTATTTTGATGTGCCTCCAACCACTGCCTCCAGTTGGTTTATTAAACATACAGATGCTACTCATTAATGTTTGTCTTCACCTGAAGTTCACGATCAGTAAGACAAAACCGGAGGCTCTCTAAATGTCTGGTTCTCTATAAACTCCCAAACATAATCTCCAAAAGACTGGTACTACTTTCTGTAAGGATGCTTTCATTTTTAACTGTTCTTTCTCTTATCAAATAGAATGGCTATGGTACAACAGAGGGTTTAAAAGACATTTTAACATGGACATTAAACCAACCAAATAATCTATTAACATATTTATTGAGTGTGGACCACATGCCTTAGGTAATGTTGGCAGACAGATGACAATTCTGGTATTCTTATTGACTTGCCAAATGGCTTTGTTTAATTACCTGAAATATTAATATCTGAGTGAATTGACAAAATAAAAATTATCTTACTTTAAACTTAAAAAGTTTTTAAAACTATATTCAGTAAGTAAATAATTGGAAATCAATTTGTCTAAAAATGATATAAATATGCAAAATTGCAATTTTGTTTTAAAAACATTATCCTTTACTTTCTGGCATAAGAGAAGAAACTTTTATTCTCCCGTGCAAAGAAGGCATAATCCTTTTCAAATTTAGTCTTTATCATAGAACTGTATTAACGGGAGACGAGTTTTTCCATTCAGAGTTTCCCTATACTTTGACCTTCCTATGCTATTCCTTAGGTACTGTGAAATATTTCATAGCATGATAATTACCTGATTTCCTATGTAAACTTGAATATTTCTTAGAAATAAGTGGTAGTTAATTTATATAAGGGAATATATTAAACAACTATCTACCAAAATAGAAGAATTACATATGTATGTCTGTGTATATATATATATATATACACACACACACACAAATATTTCTCAAATGGATTTTATTAATTAAAAATGTAGAATTAAAATTGATCTGTTGTGTAGTATATTTATTAGACACGTCTAAGGATGAGAGAAAAGCAAAGAGTAAAATCAAAAAGCCTAAGAGAAACATTAAATTCATAATATTATTTTAATAATTTATCAAATAAAATAGAATCCCTGGCCAATGTTCTGGTTTCTTTTCTCAATACCATGTAATATAAAAGCAAGCTTTGAACAGTATTCTGGAGAAAAGTGGTCTCTGTGGAATTGTTAGTTGTCTTTAATTCTACAGATCCTCAGTTGTCCTATTGAAATGTGTTAATGTGTGGTTGTACCTCATAAAAATAGTTTACCCTGGATTGCTGATAAATTTTCCATCACTACCTTTCATCTAAAGATCAAAAAGCATTTTCAAAAACAAATAAATCTGTGATTTCCCTTTACTAGATAATAAATAGAAGTGAAAAGCTTATCTGGGCTACAAAGCTAATCAAGAACAATCAGAACCAGACACCAGAATTCCCTTCTTTTAATTTACTTCTCAGAACATAGAAGTTTTCCTTTGTAATTCAGTCATTTATACTAGGTCAGTAACTAATCACTTAAAAAATATGAAGTTGGAGCTAGTTGTACATCGTGTAATCCATGCATCTATAAAATTAATTCCTTATTAAATAAAAGAAAGATTCAAAACAGAAGTCGTTCAAAAACAGAATCTGAAAATAAAATTCCTTTGCCTAAAATAGTTTCAACTTTCTTTTCCATATGTATTAACAACTGATGCTTGTTTTACTGAAAACAGTTAAAAGCCAAGCTTAATTTGGGAAGAAACTCAAAAATATCTTTGGATCAGATTTTTCCCTACTATTTTTTTGTGCGTGACTGTTAGTTGTAGTTTATAAACAAAATATTGAAATGAAATCAAAGGGTGAGAGATCACTGCAAATTTGTCATGCTTTTCTGTACTTTAAATTATAACTCCTTTTTACTCTTCTCCCAGTATGGGAAAACATTCTGGAAGCTATATTTCCTGATGAACCTGAAGTCCCTCTTTTAGAACTGAAATCATTAGGATCCTAGTGAAAACCTACAAACAGAAAGTAGGGTCAAATGTATCAAGGTGCTTGAAGAAAGACACATTTCTCCCTCTGGTCCCTGGGCCTCACACTCATTTCTCTCAGTACCTCATATATTTTCTTCTCTGTGTGGACTAACCATTGACTTCAAAGGAAAATCATGCAAGGAAAGGATTTGCAGGGTGTGGAAAGAAACAGGAATCTGGTTCCATACATTCTGAGAAACCTACCCACATGACTGGTGATTAACAGTTTGAAGTGGCAAGATGTTAAGATGAAAGTATACAAATAATTAATGGAATGGAATGGTTGTGACTAGAGATTTTTAAACTCTCTAAAGAAAAATCACACAACTCCACATTTTCATTATTAATGCCTAAGATTCAGATTTCATCAATTGATAATCATCTCCCCTTCTGTAGAGAAGTCAGCCCAACAATACCACAGAGAAAAGATGTCAAGAAGAAAGAGGTCATGTCGGATTTAAATCACATCTTGGTATTTGAGAAGCAGCATAATAATCTCCTCCAAGGAGATTTACAAAATGAAGTGATGTTCAATGTGATTTTAAGGCTTCCTTGGGTAGTTCCCTCCTTCTCTTTCTTTTGACTTCTTGTTCAGGGTTCCATGGTTCTTCACTGTCCATGTCTGTCTAGACTCCCCTCCACACAGCAACGGAGGCAATCATACTAAAGTACAACTTTAGTCAAAAATCTTGTCAATGTAAAAACTTTCAGCTGCTGCCTGTGATATTCAGTAGAGAGACCACATGGTTCCGCATGACATTCAAGCTTATCCATTCTACCACATCCTTACTTTTCCAGTCACAGCTTATACCTCCCCACACATACCCAGTCCACTCACCCCAAATAGCTGCCTTTAGCTCTGGTGGTACATCCTTTCTGGGGCATCCATTGTACTCTCTATATAACCTCATATAACCTCTCTGCTCTTGGGCTACTTGTATTCCCCTGGTTAGGTACCGACCATGTCATCTCCCATCCTTTCATGCTCAACTAGGGTACCATATACCTTCAAGCTTGGTTGGATCCTATAGGCTAGAAATAAACTCTCAACTATAGCATAACAGTACTTCTAACAGAAGATTTCTTTTTCATAATACTTAGCCAAATGATTTTTTTAAAGTACATTTCAGTTGATTTCACTGCTAGTAACTTTGGTCTAAATAAAAGGAAAAATATATATATTTCATTCACAAAGATTTAGGTGCGAAGCTCTGTCCTTTAATTACCAAAGAAATAAGATAATGGAGGTCTTTACAGCTCGGTTTCCTTGTGTAAGATGAGTCCATTACTGTCAATCTTACTGGAGGTAAGGAAGCTTTACTTTAGAGCTTGGTCCATAGCAGTTTCTCGTCTGTTTATCTTTGTATTCCCCACAGACTCTTAGACCTTAGGTCTCCTTTCATTGCTTCTTTTGTAGCAGAGGATTAGATATTAATTCCAGCATGAATGAGAGAGAACACAGGGTGATGCTATGTAGACCAACTCCTAGAAGAATGGCTTGGCTCCACTACATTGAATATTTCTTGAGAAACTTTGTAACAAGGTGCTCCATAATGTATTCTATTCAGTGTATTATAGTATCCACTTCTTTTCTAGCCATGTGTTATTTTATAATATGTAAAAATCAAGCAGTATGTACAATTATAGAATAAATCAAAAGGCATACTAAAGGAAATAAGAACAATAAAAGAAAAAAGCTCTAAATGCTTAATATTATGTAACATTTGATAAAGAACAAATTTTCCCTCTATACTCTAAGAGGATTTACCCATATTTCTAATTTTGGAGATTATTTTTTTAAAAAACTATCAAAATAAACTAGACACCCAAACAAAGGCAGACCCTCTTTTGATGACAACCTTAGAATTATCAACTTCAGGAATTATTCACAGCATATTTGCAATTCCCAACTCGACTCTCCTTGCCTGCCAGCACACTCTTGGGCCGCATTCTCTCTCTGTTCAGGAAACGCAGTCATTTCTACATTAGCCAAAGCGAAATATAATTACAAATGTATATCTCCTGCCAAAACTTCATGATGCATGCCAAAAACAAATAGACATTGTCGATGGTTGATCTACTGTTTGGGTTTTTCACACTGCGTTCCCCTCCCATTAGCACAGATGATTTCAGGTAACCAGACTCTACTTCAGAATAGCAACCTTTTCCTCTCTAAAAATGAAAGCCTTCAAACATAAATCATGATTTCAATTTAGGCACCAAATCTCCTAAACCAGCAATGTCTTCTATGCTCCATTTTAACCTGATTTGAATTTTTTTCCCCTTCTCCAGAAATCTTGCCTAAATGGTTTCAAAGTGACCTTCTCAAGCAGATTCATTTTCCCAAAAGGGCCACTTTGCAAAATAAAAGAAAACTAGACGGGTTGAATAATTTTCCTTATCATTTACCAAGTCCTTGAAGTTTTTACCCTTTTATTACATCAGAAACTAGATCGGAGATCTGATAACTTTCACATTCAATTTATACTGAAAGATACAGCCAGTTCTCTGTTATACTGTAAAAAGGCCACGTCTACCAAGTGGGCATTTGTTCCCTTCCTTTATTCCCTTGTGCCCACCCTTAGTGCTCACTGCCTTCTCCCGTTGGCACCCCAGTCACCACTACAATAATACAACCAAATACAGATGTTTCCTCTTGTTCTGACAACACGAGAAAACTTCCCAAAGCAGCAAATGAGATCTCTAAACTTGCAGGCAATACAAACTTTCAAGCAACCCCTCCCCAACCTGCCAATCCCAGGGAGAAAACAGGAGACTCTGGCAATCCGGCAGTTTGATCAAAATCACACATGTTTACGTCCCTTGCACTGTAGTTTCGAAAGGGCAGGCAGGCGTCCGTCTCCAGAAAGAATGAGACCTTCTGAAAGTGGCTTTCCCTTTCATTTTTATAACATGCAAATTGCCCTAGTTTAATCAATCGCCTCTAAATGAAAAACTGTGTAAAGTCATAATTTGGTCCTGAAGGTTGACTGCGTGATGTGGAATAGTGGATTGTCAAGAAAAATTATCCTCTGGAAAAAGATGAGTCCATGCTGGACTGACCACCACTCTGTCCTGTTCAGACCAGACCCTCCCTCCGGCTTTAAATGTGTCCAAACCAGCGCAGTTCCAGCCAGGGTGAGCGCTTCCTTCTTAGCCCATAATCCACAACTATTAAACTAAGTGAGAAGGGGCTGGGTGTCGGGAGGTAGGAAGGCGGTGCTGAGGGAAAGCTCATTATCATTTTAAATGCTTTACAAACAGAAAAAAAAAGAATGTCAAAAGAAAGCAAATGAGAGGTTTTAGGGCTCTTTACCGCACGCTGAGTTAAGAAAGGATGTTAGGGAAAAAAGAATGTGTAAAAAGGGACAGGGAAGGTTAGTGAGAGTCGCAATTATCATGATAATGAAAGGGACAAAACTAACCTGCGTAGGGGATGGCGATGGGCAGAAGGAGGAGACGGAGGAGGACTTGCTGTAGCAGCAGGACCGGCAGAAGTTGGGTCACCCACATGGCGCTGCTGGAGTCGCTGCGGCTCCCACCGGCGGAGGTGCCCGGTGAGACAATCCCGTGCGCAGTCAGAGCCTAGAAGAGCCGTCGGCTCTGAGCTGCTTTTTATTGCGATGAGCTAAGTTTGTTGTGTGATTAACTGGAAAGATCTAGGTCTGAACTCCCTCTTACGGTAAGAAACTGTTTAACAACAGCCCTTTACTCTCTTCCAGCCCCCTCCGTGCCTCACTCCCCCCCCACACCCCCAAACAGATTCCCCCCAACGCACACACCCCGCTCTACCTCCCCCCACACCCTGCTTAGGAAAGAAACTTACAAAGAAAAGGTCACCTGGCCTGGGGCCAGCTGCAATTTGGAAGCTAGAGCTCCAGATCCCAGTGGCTCCTATCCGAGTAGGGAAGGCAGAAGCCAGGCTCAGCCCAATAGCTAAATCAAGGCACAGGCAGAGGACCAATTCGCTAAATTTAAGCAGGAAAATACATGTGTTTACATATCTATTTGGGAAAAGAGGAAGGGGAAGCAGCGTAAGAAGAAAGCAAAGAACTGTCTTTCAGCCAAATGTGCCCCAGCGCCTAATCTGTCTGGCTTCACCGCTAGAGCCTTCTAGAGATTCGAAGCTCCGACCCAGGTTCCCGAGGTTTGGGAGGAGCGAGGAGGGAGGGAGGGAGGGGGCGAGGGACAGGAGCCCGGTCTAGGACAGCGCCGGGGGAAAGAGGTAAGGTAAGGAAAGGGTGTGGTCGTGGGGGGCTAAAAGAAACCAGCCAGCCAAACAAAAGCACCCAGATGTCAGGTAGGAAAACCACCCACCTATCTCAGAGCAAGCGGCTTTTTTGTTTTTTTTAAGAAACTTTGCTAAAACTTCCAAATCGCCACAAATTTACCCAAAGTATGCAAAAGAAACTTGTCTGACTTATCTGGTGATACTTTCTCTTATGAAAAGCCTAAGAGACAGCCAAGGTTCACTGCCCGTCGCTGGCGAGTACTACTTGGTGGGCTAGATGTCCTAATACACCTCATACATGGATGTGGAGATGTATGTGGGCACCTTCTGGGATTAATTTTCAGCGAAAATTTGTCAAGCCGTTTTAATTCCTAAGTAATGAATGTGCCTCTTTTCTCCGGCTCTATCTGCCCGCGCACACCCAGCAGCCTCCCAGAGTCTCAGGGCGAGGCTGAAAAGCTCCCACCGGGAGGATTTATAGGTATGGAGTCTTGGTGGGATCGTTGCCCACACCGCTCATTTTGTTCAGAGAATTGGTGCACCTCAAGGACCTGAACGCTCTGATTCCTTTAAACAAGAGATCTCTTTATTCCTAAGGAATGTCAAGGGTCAGTTGCCCCCTGTGGATCTCTGAGATGGAGAAGTAGGAATCAGCATCTCTGTGGACGGAGGAAGGGAAAGTGGCGGGTTGTGGAAGTGACACCGAGCGGTGGGCGGCTGCAGGATTGGTAGGAGTGGGGCTGAAACCATCCCCACCGCATCAGTCCTCCCTCAGGGGCTGCTTTCCTCTGCCCCCGCTCTCTCACCCCCGCCTTAGGGAAAAACCCCTGCCTGATAAATCCCCGAGGTGGCTGGGATTCCTAGACAAACCAGGGATTAAGAGAACTCTTTGAGGAATCTACTTTATATTACCTTTTCCTTTTGCTAATCCTTCCTTTTTATCTTTTTTCTTTGCTTTGCTTACTTAAAAATCATTTGTCAGCTTCTCTCCAGTGTCCCAGTCTCCATTTTGCTTTCTTTTTACTGTCCATTACACTTTCTGGAAAACCTCAATTTCAATTCCGGTGTGTTGTGTGAACATGGCTCTGAATTGCTCCACTACATCTCGGGTGCTTTACTAGGATTCAGGGGTCAAGAAATGATACCCCAAAATGAAGGCTTAAGAAGCAGCCTGGACGTTCTCCTGCCCTCTGGACCCCCGTCTCAGCCTAGCCACAGAAACTAGAATTCCTCTTTCCAAAGGTTCTTCACAGAAGCCAGAACCCCATCCCTCCCAAGTTGATCATAAACCCCCAAAATATTACTCTACTCTCCCCTCCCCCTTTCTATGTAAAACTGGCCCGTAAAGAAATCATCAGACCTCCTTGTGTGAGGGATCATAAGACCCCCATTCTGAGGGGGTCTGCTCAATACCAGGAAGGAAGGGATTCTGCCCAGAGAGTCCCTGAGCCCTCTAACCAGACAGGCCTTTCTGGGTTTCCCCACTCAGACTATTAACATTAGAGCACACCCTTTGTCCAGTCATGTTTCTACATGACTGTCCATTCCTTATTGAGCCTAAGCAGAAAAATGGACGATTTCCTTTCTATCTTTGGGTCTTCATCCTGAAGGCACGTGTGCCACATTAAACAATGAAATTAATTCCTGTGCCTTTCCACCTGGTAATCTGCCTCCTGTCAATGATTTTCAGCCAACCTTCAGAGGGCAATGGAGATGTTTTCCCTTGGTCCCAACAGAGGATTAAAGCTATTTTAAAATAAGGTAGATTTTTCTGTAAGCAAATTTTTATAAGTAAAGAATGAAAGAGAACATTTTTCTACTTATTCTTTCCATCTCTCAGAGAAAGTAAAGTCAGGGCTATACACACAGATATAGTTACAAGTTTGGAGCAAAATCAGTCTGGGATGTAATTAAGAGCAACATAAGAAGTCAAATAAATTTCTTCATTAGATCACATGTTTTCACAATGTTTATTGTCACATTAAGGTGGATTCAACTTAAGCCTACTTAAAATTATGTATTTATATTTCTTTTTGGCAGAAGTTATTTGATTTCTCTGTATGGAAATCATAGATAATATACACTGAACTTTTGGTGTACGCTAAGAGCTCTTAAAAATTGTCCTATTTAATACCTACAATAAACTTCAAGGTAGAATTATTATAATTATAATTCCTATTTTGTAGTCAAGGAAACTTAAGTGAATTATTTATATTCCTAAATATCTTGTCCAGGATCTCAAAGTAATATTCAAGTGTGAGATTCACACGGATTGGTCTGTTTACCATTCACAAAGGATGGGGTAATTTTTTTTAAGTCCCAGGAGGAAACAGAGTAAGTCTTCAAAATTATAATAGCCAAAATTACTCTAAAATCGAACATACAGAAGATATGCAACAATTATTTACAAAATAAGCCAATTTATAAATCTCTCCAAAACTATAATGAAATACCCAAATGAAGTGAATTATTAACCAAGCCATTATTTTACTTTGTTTAATAACACATTCTCTTTGCTTTTTCTGTTTTCTCCCTCCCCTGATAATGACCTTTACTCAGACATACCTCATTTTCTTGCTCATGGCTTTATTGTGCTTTATAGATATTGTGTTTCTCAGAAATTGAAGGTTTGTGGCCATTAAATAAGTCTATTGGTGCCATTTTTTTCTTTGAACTCCATTTGCTCACATTGTATCATTTCATCAATTCTTGGAATATTTCAAACTTTTAAATTATGGCAATATCTGTTACTGGGGTCTGTGGTCAGTGATCTTTGCTGTTACTATTGTAACAGCAAGGACCACACCCCACTCTTAATCTATAAATGTGTGTGTTCAGATTATGTCACTGACTGGCTATTCCCCATCTCTCTCCTTCTCCTGGGGCCTCCCTATTCCCTGAGATAGGACAATATTGAAATTAGGCCAATTAAGCCCTACAGTGGCCTCTAAGTGTTCAAGCAAGAAGAGGAGTCCCATGTTTCTCACTTAAATCTGAAGTTATAATGATTAATCTCAGGGAGCAGGGCATGTCTCAAGACGAGATAGGCCGAAAGCTAAGCTTCTTATGCCAAACAGTTAGCCACCTTGTGAATGCAAAGGAAAAGTTCTCAAAGGAAATTGTAAGTGCTATTCCAGTGAACACACAAATGATAAGAAAGCAAAACAGCCTTATTGCTGATATGGAGAAAGTTTGCATGGTCTGGAAGGAAGATCGAACCAGCGCTAACATTCCCTTAAGCCAAAGCCAGATGCAGAGCAAGGCCCCCACCATGGAGGCAGGACCCTTCATCGGCAGAAAGATTATATATGACTTACTAAAGGTACAGATGATCGTTAGCATTTTTTAGACATAAAGACTTCTTTAATTATTATATTTACATTGTCTTTTAATACATAATGCTATTGCACATGTAACAGACTGTAGTACAGTGTAAACACAAATTTTCCATGTCCTGGGAAACCAAAAAATTTGTGTAACACACTTTATTGAGGTACTCATTTTACTGTGGTAGTCTGGAATGGAACCCACAATATCGCCGAGGTATGTCTGTACTTCTTAAATGTTAAACAGTTGGAATAAATCCCCTCCCCAAAATCTGTTTGAAAAGTGTTTGATTATAAAAAAAACTTACAAAGAGAATACTTTAAACGCTACAGTTTTTGTATTTACTCAAATGCTAGATGAATACTCACTGTCATACCACATACTATAATGTCATCTTAAATCTGGGCTATGATTGAGGGCTCTAGTATCCTATGTAAACTAGACGGATTGAATGGAAAATTGTACTTTGTTGCATTTTTTTTTAAAGGCTGCCCATGGGTAAACACACACACAAATAACTCGTCTTCAAAATCTCGTGTTTCTCAACTGCAAGTCATGTTCATAAAATTGTATGATGGGGATAAGCAGACCTGACCTTGGACTCTGCCGAGTGCTAATGAGTTTTGTACTTTCAGATTGATCATTTTATTTATGAAATGCCTGGCACATACCAGGTGCCATTCTGTTTGTTGCTGCCACTCCTGTAGGTTCAGTTAAGTCATGTTTCTGGTTTCAAATCCCACCTCCGTCACTTACTAAATCCATTTCTATGATAATCAAAAAAGAGAATCATTCTCCTACCACCCAACTAGGAAACTGTGTGCTGGGTACTGTGCTAAACACTTATCTGCATTATGTTATCTCAGTTATTCTGCCCTCTTGCCCTGGGGGGTATGTATATCTCAGGTTAATTATTATTATCATCACTGATTTACAGAAAAGAAAATCTTGGTTAAACTTTTAATAAAGTAGGATTCTAAGCCATTAGCTGTAAAGGTATTTAGTCACTGCTATCAAATACTATGCCACATTGAAAGAGATCCAGATTAATAAAGATCCAACATTCTTTTCAGCTTTAGAAATTGGTTATTCTCTCTGGAGAACACTTAGAGAACTAAAAATAGACCCACCATTTGATCCTGAAATTTCTTTATTAGATATATATCCAGAAGACCAAAA